TCCAACTCAAAGTAAACACAAGGGCTAATGACCAGGGAAATAACATCAGTGTAGTGAAAAGAATATAGCTTGTAAGAAGCATGTATGGCATGAGATAAGCTAGATAGATTTGTGTGTGTGTGTATGCATACATGCATGTGTGTGTATGTGTTAACGCATGCATGCATGTGTGTGTGAATGCATGCATGCATGTGTGTGCATGTGTGTTTGTAGAGAGAGATAGATATAAAGACCTGTTCGTACACCGAAATGTAAATATTGGTTCTTTGAGCAGTAAAATTACAAGTGACTCTTCATAGTTCAGCTTCTCTAAATTTGAGGATGTTTTTGCAATAACATGTATTTTACAATCAGATAAATTATGTAATATTTTAAGGAATTGTGTTAGAGCAAGGAATTTATTTCATTGTTTTTGAGGGCTTGGTGTATGCTGGGCAAGTGCTCTATCACTGAACCAGACAAGAAGAAAGGAATCTGAATGCCTCCAGTTGTAGGGTTCCAAGACCTAGAGGAATTGCTTGTGGTGGCAGCAGGGGGAGGGAAGAAGCTGGAGATTTCAAGTGTTTGTTCTGATTTTTGTTTTTTGAGACAGGATCTCACTGTGTAATATAGGCAGGTCTTGAATTCAGTATGTAGTCCAAGCTGGTATTGAACCTGTGATGATCCTCCTGCTCAGCCTCCCAAGTGCTGGGATTATAGGTATGTGCCACCGTACCTGAAAATTTAGGGGCTTTGAGGCTGACTGTGAAAAGCAAAATGCAACATAACACAGAAATAAATAAAAAATTATGCCAGTCATGAAGCACATGTGAAAAAGTAGCAAAATCAAACATAAGTGAGTAGAGAAGATAAACGAAGATAATCCAGTTCTTCACCTTAAAACAATGCTTTATTCTAGAGTAATTTTTTAAAAATTCAATAATTGTCATTTGTCAGCATTGGCTGTAAATGACCATTGGCTTCCTCTGAAAGTGAACCCACCCTCCAAAATTGAAGAATTACTTCTCATGGGAATACTCCATTATGTTTTAAGGTCCCAAGGTAATCCCAAATGAGGAATTCACAAAAGGTTTTGAGTAATGTCAGCACACTGAAAAAAGTAATACTCACGACTACATGTGTTAAATTCTGAAGTAATCTGTTTTATTAGCCATATTCTGTAAACCTGAAAAGCCAGGGGGAAGTCAAGGGTCTAAATTGAATGACTGTATATTTATGATCACACTTGTCTTCTTCACCGTATTCAGCTTGCTGTACTCTCAGGAAGGCTTTTAGACTTTAATTCGTACACCCGGACTCAGGTCTCTTGCACTTAGTCCATTTCTGCCATTGGTTTCCTTCCATGTGAGTAATTTCTGGGGTCCCCTTGTTAGAAGTGTTTCTTCCTTAGTGCTCCATCAGTGCTGACGACTGAGAATGACCCTGCCTCTGCACGGAGCCTGAGAAACAGTCTCAGGAACCATGTCTCCAAGTACCTCATGTCCCCTCACCATGCCCGTACAGCATTGTGCACTCACCGACATTTCTTTAATGCTTTTGGTTGAGTTAGTGATAGCAAATTTTTAGCCCCATTACACTACTTATTTAGTGGAATTTGCATAAAAGCCTTCCACTTTACAAAAAGTACATTGTTCAAAAACCTAGCATGGTGGTTTCACCTGAGACTTCCTCTGAGCCTGAAGTGAGAGCACAGTGTGACAAAGTCACAGGTAAGGGCAGACATTCCTCATTTTAATTCTTCACCAATAATTCCTAATTACCTTGAATTTCAAAGTACAGTTCTTCTCTCCAACCCTGTGGACAGTACAGTCCATACGTCCATACCCCAACAGCAAATTCAACCAACCTCAGGTTGAAAAATATTTGAAAAAATATTGCACATGCTTTGAACATGTAAGTACTTTTTTCAGGTCATTATTTCCTAATTAATAGCTATTATAGTATTATATAGTTATAATAGTATTATAACTATTTATGTAATATATACTGTAATGTATACTGTATTCAGACTAAGTAATCTAGAGATGACGTAAAATATACAAAAGGACATATGTGGGTTATATGCAAATACTATACCATGTTATATCACAGACTTGAGCATCTGCGGATTTGGCTTCCTGAGGGCGACTCTGATATCAGTCTCCCAGAATATAAAGGTATGACGAGGCAAGCTTCTAGGTTTGCTTTCCAAAAGTAGAATTAACTTATGCACTTCCTTCACATTTCTCCACATTTACAGAAAGCAAATATATGTGTGTACACACTTATATATGTGTATATATTTTTTAGTTTATTTTTATTTTTATTAAAAAAAATAAAACCAAGGCAAAAAAAAAAAAAACAGAACAAAGTCAATCAAAATAAACCAGTGTAAAGTGACACAGGACTTCAAAACAATAGGAAATCAACAGTGGTTACCATAATGTCTCCTACTGTCTTCAAAATAGCTGCATATATCTTCAGACATAGTAAAAATCAAACAAAACATAACTGAGTAGAACCAATAAAAACAAAACAATGAATGTAATAAAGGACTTCAAAACAGGATAATAGTAAATCCAAACTGGCTACTATAATATATCTTGTTATCTTTGAAATAGCTGTCCATGCCATTGGCTATCACAAACAATCAAACAAAATATAACAAAACCCAACCCAACAAAACAGTGAAAATGATTCAGAACTTCAGAACAAGATAATAGGGAATCAACGACGGCCACCACCCTCAGAAGAGCCCCCATAGATACCACACTGCTCACGGCCATTCTCTGAATAGATGACCAGACCTCCAGCTTCAGACCTGCAAAGTCAGTGAACACTAACCGCTGTAAGCATTAAGTAGTATTCCACCTCAATAGCCATCATCACAGCCTGTGTTTCTCCAGATCACTACGTCACTTACGCGGGGGCAGGGGGAGAGTTGGCTCTTCTTGTTTCCCAGCCCATGTGCTGAAGGGTCTGCCATCTGGTTCTCGCTGCAGCAGCCCACACGTGGCACCAATTCGCAGAGAGGGCTTGCTTCTTGGTGAATTCTTGTCCTCTTTCCCTACAGTCCGTGAATGGCGCTGACTCATGGGAAAAGACTGGCATCTGGCTTTCCCCTCTCTAGCCCACACATGGTGCTGATTTGCAGGAAGCTATATATTCATATGCATGCGTGCGTGTGTGCGTGTGTGTGTGTGTGTGTGTGTGTGTGTGTGTGTGTGTGTTCCATAGCTAAATAAAATCCATTATTTGATGTTATCAGTTTCTGTTTTATCTTAGGAAAATTTTTTTTCCCAATGGTGGATTATGTCAAAAGGTGCCTCCTTCATGGAAAACCACTCTGGAAATCTGCAAACTTGAGATCAACTGTGTAGTATCAAAATAACTAGCATGGCATCAAGGTGCTTCAAAGATAGAAAAACTTTGGAAACTAGTCAGCAAAACCGTGTTTTTATATTAAAGATGAAAATGAGATGAATTTATGTGACTTCTAAAGAACACTTCATTAATGATTGATAAAATTACTTACTGTAAGGTCTAAAGACTTTTACAAGTATTTAGAGATGAGTAATTGGTATTTGTTCAAAACAAAAATCAGGATTTTTGAGAGTAAGTCATTATGGAGCAAACCAGTTTGTAAATTTTTTAAATTGTTTCCATTTCTTCTATACTAAATATATTACCTTATACTTAGTATCTTTCAAATAAATGTTTTTTGATTGATTCACTAATTACAGAATTAATACACAATTAGAAAATAATTTATTGTAGAACTAATAATTAAGGAATAAGAAAAATTTCTGATGTAAAAATTATTTGAATTAAACTTTATTTCTTTTTTGGAAAGTAATATAAATAATTAAATGCATATATTTTAAGAGTCCCAGCTCCGTTATTTAATAACTATGTGACTATGTACAAATAAAATTTTTAAATTGTATTATGAGAACAATATCATGTACCTCATGTGGTTGCTTAAAGACTAACTAGGGTCATATCTATATGGATTTGAAGTATCTTTGCATGGCAAATATCCAATAAATGTCATGATCAGCTGAAAAATGTGTACAGTCAGCCTAAAATGTGAAGGGTTTTAGATTGCAATCCATGATTTAGACTAGATAGGAAAACTTATGTTTTCTCAGACATACTGAGTTGTACAATGTTGACTTATGAGTTTTCTATGTAGCTGGGGAGTTTTTAAAATTCTCTCTCTCTCTCTCTCTCTCTCTCTCTCTCTCTCTCTCTCTCTCTCTTCTCTCAGCAATAAGACACATGGGGAGATTAGATCCCACAGGAATGCTAATTGTGTTTCAAGGGTATTGTACTGTGAGGAAAAAGACCATGGGATATCCATGATTTACTAGTTTATTGTTGATTAGTAGATATTTGTTAATCAAAGTGAAGATATATATTTTTCTAAATGGAATCCTAAGCAAAGCTAAGGTGAAGAAAGTTTAAAAATTATTTAACTGTTAAAATGTCATGAATATATATAACACTCCTACATCTATTTGCACAAATCTATGTTCCTTGTGAAACTAAGTCTTTGATAAATATTTGTATGACCTATCCTAGCACTGAGAAGAAATATAGAGAGCACTAAAAACATGATTGCCAAAGAGAAAACAGTGACCATAATATGCTGATAAAAGATTTCCAAGTACAATTTCTATTTCAGAAAGACTGTTTTTAACAAGATTGTACATTTACCAATACATTATTGAAATTTTTACATCCCAATGATGATGAAATTGTATGTATAACTGTAAATTAAACTTTAGGATTTCATTACTTCAAAGAAGTTCAAGCAGATCTAACATAATTTCAATTTTCATGACAATTTTCAAAACAAAATATATTTAGATCCTCATCATATTTTGGGAGGATCTGTCTTCCAAAGTCTCATGTGAAGATTTTCAATGGCAATAAAATGCTACTAAGCTCTCCAGAACTCAAAGCTTGTATTGTGATTATTTATGTTACCTCTCTATTTCTTCTTTACATTGATACAGATGGACCTTATGGACTTCGAGTTAATTCGGATAAAGGGCTGAAAGTAGGGGAAGTGTTTACCGTTGACCTGGGAGAAGCCATCCTATTTGATTGTTCAGCTGACTCTTATCCCCCTAACACCTACTCCTGGATCCAGAACACTGAAAATGCAACGTACGTCATCAAGTACGGGCCTGTCTTGGAAGTGGCGTCTGACAAGGTCACCCAAAAGACAACTGACTTTATGTGCTGTGCTTACAACAACGTAACAGGGAGGCAAGATGAAACGCGTTTCACCGTTATCATCACTTCTGTGGGTAAGTGTGACACAAAAGGAGAGATCCCAATAAGACACAAATGCATGCTGGCTTCGTTTGCCCCAATCACATACCTACCTGTGCCCTGAAAAATTCTTTCCTAGGTCAACTAAATCGTGGTGTCTGTGATTCAAAGAAAAAAAATAACTTGAAATGAAATAGAAGGAAATTATTGCTTTCCTGATTTAACAAATAGAAACTTCACAAAACGCAGTCACATTAGGTCACATAAGCAGATTTCTGAGAGCTGGGAACCTGGTTTTCTATTTGACAGTTTTATCATTGCTCTTCGTGGATTCCTTTTGTTCACCCTTCAAACACATGAAATTTATGGAACTTCTCAAGAATCTCAGTACCTTGGTAGTCACAAAACTGTGTTAAGTCCATAAAATTAGATGAATTGTAGAAATCACTTTATTTTCAGAAATGTCATCAACCCAAAATAGTTAAGAACCATCATCAAAACATGGATGCAACCAAATTCCGATTCTGACCTCTCTGTTTGTTTCTCTCAATCTCTCTCTCTCTCTCTCTCTCTCTCTCTCTCTCTCTCTCTCTCTTCTCCCTTGCTGTCATTTCTCTCCTCCCGTCAATATGCTTTCACTGTCCTCTATTATTTCTTGTATGATTTCATTCATTCCCAAGGTTTCATATAACATTGGTGCATCTAAAATATCTTTAAAGCTCTAGAACTGTATGCCCCGATGTTTTGGAATTAGCAGGCAGAATAGGAGCCCAGAATATCAAAACTGAGCTATCTTTACCCATAAATTACTATTCTGTCTGTGTTTCCTGTTTAAGTGAATGGCCCTGCCCTTTACCAATCTAAGACAGAAATCTAATGTCACCCCAGACTCCTTCCGTTTGCATTCTGCCCTACCCCACATTCGCTCACCAAGTCCCCTCCCTTCTCCCTCCACCTGCCTCTTGGATTCATCCACTTCTCTCCTTTTTCTCTTACTTCTTTCTTTTCTTATTTGTCTTTCCCGTCTTTCACCTTCCTCTTTTCTTCCTTCTCATTCACCTTTTTTCTTTATCTTCTTTTATTATTACTTCTATTGCTACTGTCAAGTCTTTTACATACAGAAAAGTATAAACTAGATTCCACTTGGGGGAAACCTGGGGCAAGTTTGAACAAGAAACAGTGGGTGAGGTGCTTATTGATGATAGTTTCATTGATGCCCTCTCTCCACATTTATAACCATAGTACCTAGTGTAGGACCCATAAGAAAGAAGCCCAACACATTAAATGAAACAAAAATACTATTCTTATAATCTTACGGCTAAATTTTTCAGTATGTGTCCCTTAGGCCACTTGCATCAATATCACCTTGGCAAGTTCCTTTCAGTAAGACACATCAGACCTGCTGGATGAAAATCTTGCAAGCACGTCCTGGCAGACTAAATACATAACACACACAAGTGTGACAACCACTTGTTTTTTCCCACATAGAATTTTAAATTTTATGAAAAGCTTTTAAAGAGCCAAAAAGAATTATAAGACTATTGTTCGCCTACAGATTGATGAACAAATATTTTGTGGATGGGTCTGGATAAGAACTTTGTAAAGTTAAGGATATTCATATTTGCAAAACCACTGGCATATATTAGAATTTATAAGATATCTTTAGAATGTTGTAATATGGAGAAAATGTAATACTCTTTAGAGAATTGCTATCCAGTGGAACTTTCTTCAGTGAGGAAAATTTTCATTATCTGTATGATAGTGTGGTAGCCACTAGCCTCATTTAACTTTTGAACAGTTAAAATACGACTGTGCAACTAAGTGAATTTTTATTTTACTTTATTAATTCTAATTTTAATGTAAACAGCCACAACTTTTGAATGACTACCATATTAGAGAATGCAGCTGTAGAATTTTTACCTTAATTAGGTTTTATTGGAGGAAGTAAATGATGTATTTCCTTACAGACACCCAAAATATATGTGTTTAGGGTTTTTAAATTAAGCATTCATTGCCGGGGCTTTAGCTCAGCAGCATAAGTGCCTGCTTGCCAAACTCGAGGTCCCAGCACCAAAAAATAAAATAAAATTAATTAATTAAGCACTCATTCACTTAGCATAAACCAAACACTGGGAATAGCACTGAGTACACTATAGGAAAAAATAATTCCTGCTAGCAGTAATACCTGTTTAAAACTTAAAATGGCTAACAATCATGCAAGCAGCTAAGGTACATTCTTTGCTTTCTATTTTACCAAATATTTATAGACTTAATCAGCTAGTTAACCCAGTAGCTGACCAGCTAGTTAACCCAGTAGCATAACTTTAAAGCAAACCATAAGTAAGCATATAAAAATCTGTAACACTTGAAGTGTCATCTTAGACTTGTTCTTTATGTTCATTTCAATTGAAACTGACTATAACATGTAGAAGTATATTACAGTTAAGGTTTTCACACTGCCTAAACTTTCTTTATTAATATTTAGCCAGAGTATTTTCATAATATTAGAAGCCCCCAATATTTGATTAAGATCTTATTACCAAGTTCCCAAGACAGCTACAGTCTTAACGTCATATAACTGCCTTAGGCAAAATCTAAACAAACCTGTTTGACCTGTGCAAAGACCAGGCATTTGTTATTACAGTAAATAAGAAGAGCAGGTGCTTATTTTTCAGAGGGATCCAGGGTTGTCAACATTAATGACATCTTTGTGGTTTTCAGAGCCATTTTCCCACTCCCAAATGTCCACAGAACTTTTAACTGAAACAGCAGAAAAGTGAAGGAAGAAATGAGTAATATTAGCATGTTTCATTAAGTATTAATTTTTTAGTCTCCCAAATGAATGGATCTCTGCAATGAAGATTTACATGTACACTAACCTACAATTATAAATGACCATCACTTGTAATTATCAGCTGAGTACTCACTGACCATTCACTCTGATGAGCAAGCTATCTTAAGAACTGTGGGGAATTTGAAATTATTTAGAAGGATAAGGTATCTTCCTTTGAGACATTTCCAGGATCGAGTTGATGTTTAGTGTAGCCAGAGTGAAGCTGTAGGAAATAGACAAAGGTCATTAAATGAGGCAAAAAATGCAGCCAGTCAAAAACTCTCAGCAATAGGATGTGGAGAGCAAAAGAAAATTGAATCAATGAAGTCTCCAAGGTCACAGATACAGAAAGAAAATAGCAAGGTCAAGAGATAATCAAAAATTTTATTGAGGACTTTCAATTGAGAGGAAGACAGAAGATCATTACAATTAGCTATCTGTTTTTGTCTGTGTATAACTACAGCAGATGGAGAGTTCTACCTCTGTGAGCCATAATGCTCGTTTAATTTGAGATATTATTAATTGACCTTTCAGTATCTCAGCATAAATGTCCTAAAGAAAACAGAGATAATGGACAATGTCACACACCTAGGAAGTGATAAAGTAATTTCTGAATTCAAAGACTTTCTTTGTAACCACCATACAAACTCTAGCCCTTGATGTCACTGAGAATATTGATAGGAACGTGGTCTTAGAGACATTTTCTCATTATCCTAGATAATTTGATATTATATAATACAGATTCTAAATTATCTCTAATATAGGTATAATTTCATAAGAGTTATGCGAACATCTGTAACTGAAATAATATCTAGAAATTCCCAGAAAAAAGTTATTAAAATGATGTGTTATCATTTGTATTTTGAAGAATAATTACTGTCTTAATTAATGACTTCTTTGAACGCAGATATTCCCACTTGAAAGTTTTAAATGAGCCTAAATCATGATTATGATGTGCAATACATATATATGTATATATAATGAAAATGTTCATGGAAATGTAATCATCTGCTCAAAAATCAAATGTTCACATTTATTAAAAGTATCTAAATGTAGAGTTCCCTAAGACTATATGGCAGTAGTTTAAGATTTAGCCCATAATACAAATGTTTTGAATTTATATATAATCCTGAGAAATCTACCATTTTAAAAATTACTTGTATTCTACATCTTTTCATAACAAAAGACTAGGAAAAAGACCCAAGGAAGGAAAATGAATTTACTAATTTTTTCCGTCTATCTAAAAATTTCTTAAGTCATAATTTCCAGGAGATGTCCTTCACTTTAGGTCACTGGAGGTAACAATTGAGATAAAACAACAACCCTGAATTTCGGAGTCTGAGACCTTGGGCGACTCCCTCTTAGTATCAACCACAGAATAATTCTGTCGGGTGCGAACACAGTGGAGTGTGGAAATAGCACACACTTCAGTATGTTGCCTTCATTGTTACAGGGATAAGAATCAGCTGCCATAATCATCAAGTAGATTGGATGAGAGAGAGCTCAGGACTCCATTCTGGTCTAGAGATACACACGCTGACTGGTAGCATATGGCTATCCTGTTTTGGGTGCAGTCTCTTAAACAGCAGGGATGCGATACCATGGATACCACACCTCTTGCCCGTATTTGCTCTGAACGTGTATTCCATTTTATTTGTTTGTCTAAGGAGGGATCAAATAGCTTTTGCACTAAGGCTTTGTTAAAGGAGTCAATCATGTTCAAATAATAGGGAGAATGGCATGCTATGTGGTAACAAATAATGTAAACTCTCTGAAAAGAGAAAAAAGGAGCTGCCACAAATGCCCAGAACTGCACTGGGGATCTCTGTGCGTTCTCTGGGGTAATAGGGTCAGAATTTTCTTACCATCTTATTTATAAAGTGTGTTCTGAAAGTTTATCTAGCCAAAACACACTTGCCTGGGTCTGAGACACAGCCACTGTACTCTTGAATGTGTGCTCTCAGAAAAGCCATATTAAAAGCAGACAGCCAGGAGGAGAGGGCCAGAAAGATCTTTTGCTCTGAGAAAAGGATTCTTTCCATTCCTCAGGCTCCAAGGCTTCAGGTGACAGGTGATGGTCACTAGAGACTGGTCCTCTGACAGGTCAAGGGAAGAAGGAGGGCAGAAAAAAAGGAGTCTAAACAAACAAGAAATGGGACAGGGAAGAGTGTAATCCTATATATGAAAGAATTGCAAATCTGGCCATCTTAGTGAATATGTATCAAAAGAGACAACACGTTAAAATGAAAGAGAAGAAATGCAGCTTACGCATGTTAGCATAAGACAGCTAATATTTTTTTAATAAACCTAGTACAATTTTTGAATCACAGACTTGTCTGGCAAATTGTCTGATGTATGCCAAAGTGAAACTTCACCATTAAAATGAAATGTGCTCTGAGATAACTATTTGTATATTTTCAAGTTGAAGAATTTCAAAACAATTGATACCATTCTGAAATGATTTTCTGCCATTTTATTCATAGTAAAGCACATTTCAGGAGCTTGAATTTAATTCTTTTTTTTTTGAGGGGACCAGAATTACTGAATTTTGGTCAAGGCCATCTGGCTACCATGAAGTAAAAGACTTTGAAGTAACTGATATTTGGTATTAGAAAAGGTTAGAAGAAAAACTGAATTATAAAGTCCTACTTGCCAAGTGCAAAACAAAATAAAAATAAATTAAAAAATAAAAGTTAATTTTGACCACAGAATAACAGGAAAAATAACTCCCGCCAAGTTAAAAAAAACACCTGCATACCAGTTTCTGTTCCTGTACCTATAAGTGAAGCTGTGAATTTTTTTATTAATTTCATTTTACTGTTATGATAAAATTATATCAAGTGGGAAACAAATATGCATCTGATTTTATGTACATACTGCTCAAATATTTAGCTGTATATTATCTGAAAATTCCTCCATTAATTTTGATTTTTATATCTAATCTAAAATTAAAACATAGAGATTTAATTTGCTGAAAATGACCCTCCAAGCATATATCTTAAATCTTGCTTTTTTATTATTTGGTATTATAATCAATTTTTCCTCTTTTCATCACTTCTAATGTCTCAGCATTCTATTTGTTTTTATCTTATTGAGAATTATACTGGAATATAGATTCTTCTAAATTTGTAGTTTAAAAATAAAACTAACTTTTGTTGAGCTTTCAAAATTGCACCCTAAGGATAATAGAGAATTTGGAGACTGTTGCTATGCAGAACAACAAAATGATGTAGGAATACTGAATCTAACAGAAAGTTCAAGGAAAGGTGAGTTTCACCACACAACTGAAATGGCATAATGTACAGAATGTGTTTTATTTATTTGTTGTAGTTTTAATTGGTAGAACTCAAGGTAAGGAAAGAAATTTTTAAAAAACCAAAAATGCAGAAAATAGAGAAAAAACTCATATGATTTGAAGATCAAAAATAAAATGTATAAGTAGTCCAATTAAGTATCAATGGATTAAATATTCCAACTAAAAGACAAATACTGTTAAACTAGATTTTAAGATTCTGTTTGCTACTTATGAGAAACATGCCGTATATATAAGGATATTGAGAAACTGTATACAAAGGCTGAATAAGCAAACCATGCAAATATCCAGAAGAAAGACAGTGTATCTACACCAGTATCAGATAACTTATCAAAGAATTAGAAAAATTGTTAAAAACAAAAAACATTACTTCAGATAAAATGTGGACATTTCATAAAAGTAAAACATTCTTCAGTAAAAAATTTGTAAGCTGGGATTCCAGGGATGCACCATCATGCCCAACTTTTTTTTCAGTATACAAACTATTACCAATTCAGCAGTCCTTCAAGTCTCTGCTAAATGAATGAAGTTTCAGTGAACCTCATTGTTTCATATTCATCTTAGTAAGCACCAACCAACAGACACTCATGTCAATATTACACTTGCTCATCAATGATGTCAACAATTACTTTACTAAATTGGACAATGATCAGTATTTATTTTAAGTTTAATTTTACCAAGATGTGAATTTCACACATAGGTAGAAAATATATATATATATATATTTCAATTATCTATGTGGAATTACCAACAAAGAGTATTGCATATTTTACTTCTTTGTTATTATTTGCTACCTATCCTTTATATCAGTAAAATAAGTGACTTCAGTTATATACTTGTGCAAACAATTTTTTGAGACAGAGTTACTAGTATGTCACTGGATATAGTGTTTGATTTATGTAATAAGTTTCACATAAATTCTCTCTTGGTATGCCAAATTGTAGAGTATTGGAACAAGAATACAATCTAAAAGCTATTATTCTTTCTTCCTCATTTTACTGCTGTGAAAATCAAAACCTTCAAAGTCAAGTGGCTCACCTAAAGTTATGCAGGTCTTTAGAGAGAACAGATCTGTGAAGTAGCAGCACAACACCAAAAACAAAATGTAAAACAGAAAAATGTAAAGGCTAAAGACCTCACAAAGATCACCCAAATGCTAACAGAGTTCAAAAAGGCCATTTTTCTAACAGTAGGAGAATACTTTGTATTTTACGATGCATAACGAAGAGAAAAAGGAGGCCATCTTTCTATTAGTTTTATAATGTTCCAGATTACAACTAGATCCAATAAATCGCCATCCTAGTTCATTTTGAATCTTGCACTTAATTCTTCTACCCAAGGTATAAAGTAGTCTAATATCTGTTTAAATACTGAGGGGAAAAAAATGAAGCCTTCCTGCTTATCTTGGCTGTTGGAGATTTGCTTTCTGGTAGATTACAGAACCAGACTGATATTTATTGCACAGCTGAGTGGCCACAATGTTCTTCACCACACCCAAATTGTCCAGACCATTCTCTACTATGGATGGAAATAGTATCATATGAGTTGCACTCCCACATTAAGCTGGGAAGAGATAGTCAAAGATCATGATTCATTTCTGTTTCAATATCTGAGTCCCATATTGATGCAGAAGACATCTAGTTATGACTTGAATTTATTGGAGATCACAACTACTTCCTCTTGCACAGTCTGGAGCTGATATTAACATAAGTGTGTGTAGTAGGTGGTGTTAAAGTAGTATTAAAAGGAGATGGCAGAAAGTGTTAAGATTCTGGAGTCATAGCTCCCACTTGTAACTTGAGTGGCCTGAGGCAAGCCTCAGCTTCCTCATCCACAAAGGGAGTTCATTAAATAATATCTCCCTAATAAGATTTTTGGGAAGATTCAGTGAGTTACTGTTAGGGTAACAGTACTGTGAGTACTGTAATGTACTCTTACGGCAGAGCTTGATATACTGCAAATGCTCAGATGTTAGCTATTACCACATTTTCTACAGTAATATTAATTTTAAAAATCACTTAAAAAGTGAATTTTAGTCATAAAATTGAACTTTTAAGTATCTATTGACAATCACATGCATCTTAATTGGCGTATCTTGATTGACCAAAAATGAGTCAAGTATATTTAAAATACCTTTCTTTCTACATTTTAACTCCTAAGAAAATTCACATTCTTGAATTACACTAGAGGAGAGAGAGAAGTAGGGGCCCATCTAGCATCTGGGATATAGAGATAGTGAACTGAAGCAGATCTAAGTCAAGGTGACAAATAACAATTAGAAGTAGGACATCAGTTATTCGCTACATCTTCTACAATGTGTCAGTATGATCCCAGGCAGGTCACATTTCCATGTACAAATATCCCTAAAGAGATTTGTTCCTATGTGTGTGTATGTATTCTAAAATAAGAACATTCCTTTTATTTTGTGTCTTTCTTGGAATAGGATGGTGAAAGAGAAATTTTCAATATTGTCTTATTTAAGATAAAGAAAAATCATAAACTCATCAATTTATATAGTAACTTATTATTACAACATACTTTTCTTTTTTTTAGGACTGGAGAAGTTTGCACAAAAAGCAAAATCATTGTCCCCTTTAGCAACTATAACTGGAATATCACTATTTTTGATTATGTCTATGTCTCTTCTCTTCATTTGGAAAAAATGTCAACCCTACAGAGGTAGGTTTACATTTTTTAAAAAGTTTTAAGCTTTGTATATCTACTAAAATATAACTCATTGTGTTTTCTTTCTTTTGACTTTAGTCATAAAACAGAAGCTAGAAGGCAGGTAATATACATGTTTCTGTGAAAATAATTTTATTCTTGCATATTTTTCCTCTATTATTATCCCTAATAGATATATCTACTTGTCTTTTCAGGCCAGACACAGAATACAGGAAAGCACAAACATTTTCAGGTATTTATCAATGTTAAAGTATATTATGTTATCAATGTTAAAGTATATTAAATAATATTGTTGGCATTAATTAATGGTGTTAGTTGACATTGCTATTAACATAATAGAATTCATATAAGACAATACTAGTACAGCATTAAAAATACTTACACCTTGAATGGTGCCTTCTCTTTATAAGTGCTGTCCCTGTACAGTTAATGTAAGCCACACACATTTGGAAGATGAGTCTGGACGTTTCCAGCAAGACAACTAAGGGTCAGAGCGAGCAGTCACTTGCCACAGTTACTGTGTTCTGTTGAACCCTTAGTTATCAACCTATCATTACTGTTTTGAAAATGCCAAACAAGTTTCTCCCTGTGTTAGTCCCATCAAATCCTGGCAGTTCCATCTCAAGGAAAGGAGAAAAGGAAGATCTGACCAGGGGTCCATCCTCCTGGTTTGTCTCCACGACTCTCATGGCTTTCATGCTTGACTCCGATATGTGTTAATAATAGAGCTTTTGTTTGGGCCTTGGCATCACAAGACCTGGATTTCTGTCCTGTATATGCCACCTTCCCCTTAGAAAAGTTATTTTTATTGACCTCAGTTTCCCCATCTATAACAAATATAGAAAATTCCACCTAGGACTTCTATGAGAAAAATAAAAGGATATAGGTGGAGACCTTAATATGATCTCTGAATGCTCAATAAATATGGTTGTCCCACTTTTGTAGGCTTTGCTCACTTAAATAGGATTCAATGTCAGACCATCCAGTTCCTCCAAACCACCTCCATGCCCATTATTTTACAGATGAAGGGGAGGCAAATAGTAACATTGCATTATACTGTTTTGTATATCTAAGCAGCTATAGTTATTGACATGTTGTTTTCATTTCTGATGATCTCTGTTAGATCCAGCAGTGGAAAGTGGGTATTATGTGTGGATCAAAAGCTGCTGTGACATCTGGCTGAAGCCTTAGAGTCCATGAATCTCTGATGAGTGAAAGTTGCAAAAGATAAGCCTGTCCACCTCTGCATATTTGAATGTGTGGTATATTGGTTCTGTGTCAGGCTTTAAGAGTAATTGTTGCAGTTCAGTTTCAATTTTCAGCTTCAGAACAATTCATTTCCAGTATTACTCAGCATCAATATGACCAAAGGGGCTTAGGAGTATTCCGTGGGCTTTGTATACCATTTAAAGTCGACAATGAAGATAAGTTTTATAATGGTTTTTAAAACAATAGCGAATCAAAAGATTGGGTTTGTGAGTAGTATTGTTTTCCATTTCAGGCCATGAAGATGCTCTGGATGACTTCGGAATATACGAATTTGTTGCTATTCCAGATGCTTCGGGTGTTTCCAGGGTTGGTGTTCCTAGTGGTGAATTAACCAAGTACAGTTCTGCTTCCCCAGAGGTGCAAGCAGCATGGATTTAAGCACTCAGGAAATGTGGTCAAAAGGCTGCATTACCCTTTACTGCATTAACTCTGCAATGAGGGTGTTGCCGAATCTGGGGAGCTAAGGCATCTTTCTCAGGCTTTATAAGTAAAGCTAATATGGTTATGCTAATTAATAAACATCCTCTACTCCTAAATCAGTGAGGATGGAACTAATTAGGCTGAAGTACGAGAGAGCCGAATCAATAGAGGATCAGGAAACTCTGGTTGAAATTATCATGAATTATTTTAGTGGTTGCAGTCCATAATTTTACTGAACTCTCTCTGTTCCTCATTTTCCCTTCACTCCCTTCTCATAACTCTTGAGTGCATTTCAAAAACAATTTATCATACCCTTGAAGGTACCTGTGCTCTTCATAAAGAAGTTATCATACAGTACAGACCTAAAGTATGCAGGTATAAATTTTTATTATTATCCTAATGGGGGCATTAGTAAAGGCAGGAGAGAGCTGCTAACAGTTAAAGCCTTTATTCAGTCTGAGGGGAAAATTTATTAAAATAATAAGTCTTGTTTAAGACCTCTTAATGCAGAAGATGTCTCTGAGCTAATCAGTTCATGAACACTGTTGCAGGTTTGTGTAGGACTTGTTTTTCTTCTGCTTCCTTGGTCCCCTACGATAGTCCATTTATGGAAGGAGTCATTAAGGGGTTGCCTGGGTCTGGGCATTCTCACTTCCATTTTTTAGAAGGACTACTTCTTGTTATGAAATGGCTCCTTCACTGGTTTAGTGCATTCTATCCATGTGCAAGGTTCATGCAGCCGGTCTCTTAGCCACAGACTATTTCAGAAATGTCCTGTGAGTCATTGTGATTGGGTTTCCCCCTCCCTAAGGGTAGGTCAGCAGCACAGCACCACACTGTCATAGATGAAGAGAACTTCCCTACAGTGGCTATGCAGTGCCCTATTCCAGCCCTATTCCATCTCGGGCAGTGTTGACTCACCCTTGACTTTCACAACAAAAAGACAAAATAAATATTTGGCAAACTAATGATTTATAACTATTCACAGATGCAGAAACCACTCCCTAAAATGTGGCTTCAGATGATAGAGGGGGACCCTGAAGAGCTGGGAACCTTTGTAATTGGGTTTTTGAGGCAAGGGGCTTTTCTTTATTTACAGTGATTCACACTTTTTATTACTAGGAATTCATCAGAAGTGATTTAGCTTTTTATAAGAAATTTTAAGCTTAGATTGTGATTAATCAGGACAAGGGCTGGGATACTGAGAGGACTATTGATGGCTCAAACTGTTAACATTCCTCAAAAGGTGGTGCACAGAAATGGATCCTTTAATTGCATCTCAGAGCCCCACTTTTTCTGTCACAAATAGAACTTGACTTGGAGCCATGCCCATTTGCAAAGCTGAAACCTCCTGAGAATTCTGCTGGGATTATGAATTGCCCAGACCCAGGTGGTTTGGGGAAGAAGTGAAAAACCAGAAGGAGGAGAATAAGGGTGAGCACATGAGGAGGAGGATCGGAGTGAGCAGCAGCCAGAATAGCAGTTACATGTGAACGCTGGCACCCAAAGATGATGGTCGTAAGAAGAAAAGGAGATACACTAACAAAATCAAATCTGAAGATTGAAGTTAAGAAGGGAAATAACAGCACTTGGGGGGGGGGCAGGGTGTAGTGCTGAGCTCAGTGCAAAAGTCCAGGGCTCAACCCACACTAACTTTACAAAGTGGGGATGGGATAGATGGAATTACTAATATTTTAGTTTTTAAAAATCAAGATAACCTCTTGGAATTCCCTTTTTGTGTTGCATGTATAAGGAAAATACTTTCATCCAACCTGTTGTATATTTTATTACATTTAAGAGGTACATTTAGCACCCCTTTCAGGAATCAGACAGAAGGCAATTGTATAAAATGAACACATTTGTTATTTAATCATCCTAATATTAGGTTAAAGAAGTTAGTGATCATCTATAGATAGGGTTTACCATACCCAAAGAAATCAAGAGGCTATCTCAAGTACAAAGTGTAGATCAAATACTCTCAACACAGAATGATAGGACAGAGCTTTAGTAAGTGGAATGAAAATGGAGACTCCAGAAGAGCATAAAACCAAGGTGTTCCAATCTAACCTAGCAGGTCAGATTGAGATGAGACAAGAGACCTCCTCAGACTCTTCTGGGTGAAGCTATACAAATACGAAAGACTGAAAATACACGAAAGCATGACGTAAACAGAAAGTGAGTGGCAAGGAAAATCAGACCTTAAATAATTAGAAGACTGTATTTTTTTGGAAGAAGAACATAGAAGGAATGAGAATTAATAAAACATGAACATTAGCTTCAATAAAGTATCTTCAACAAAATAAAATATTTTTCTAGACAACTACAATAGTCTTTCTCGTTTTAGTGAAGCTTTTAGTTTTTAGGACCCATTAGTATTTTCTAACCAAAACATCACTCTTTGCACACTGTTTCTTGGTACTGCCTTTGCTTACTTATAATGTGACTAGAGCTATTTATTGTACACTATTCTTTCTTTTAAGCCACTTCCCACATGTAGTTGGCAAATAATATCAGAAGAATAATTAAGATGTAATAAAAAAGATAAGAATATGTGCTCTCTTGTTCCAAACTGCCATATCTCCACTTTTGCTATTTCTTCCTATTATATTTACTTAATGGTATTGCTAACTTTTTTCTTAAAGAAAAAATACAGTAGCTCTGTAAAGCTATTCCTCTTCTGACTTTATAGTTATGCTGCTATGCAGACCACCAAAGGATAAGTGCAGAAAATTGGCAAGGAGGAAATAAGTATTATAGGCTTGAGAAACAGTTCTAATTCTCTAATCATCACTATTGCCAGATGTTTTCAGCTACACAACAGAATGGAAACACTATTGACTTGGGTTAATTTTTGGTTTTTTGACATACCACTTTTCAAGGTGTCAAGCAGATCTGTTCCCACCTCTGATGGTATATCAGGGCAAGATTTGCACAGCACAATTTATGAAGTTATTCAGCACATCCCTGCCCTACAAGAAGACCATCCAGAGTAAGTATGAGTCGTGTTTGGTGGCGTTATGTGGGAGCTCAGCACTTAGCCTCTCTGTACCTCAGAATTTATTGGAAGGCTCAGAAAAAAATATTTCAAAAAGAAATGGTAGTTTCTGTATATATCAAAATGAACAAAACACTCCCTACCTGAAAATAATTTTAAGCACTAGGCAAATGCACAAATATCTTTGGGTCCATGCACTTGAGCCAATAGATTAGATGTAGAACTCCTGAATAAACTGTCTATTGTGTATCTCTCCTGCCCATGGCATATCCCATGGAATTCACGTCAGGGAATGAAGGGCACATGCAGGCCAGTACCTAAGCCATCTTGGTTGTCTTCATGATTTTTTAGTGCCCATGGTAATTTTGGAACTAAAATCTGACACTAAAAACAAAGCCAGGAGAAAAAAGGCCCACAAAAGATCCATAGCAACAGCAGCATCAAATGCCCAACCTTTTCCAACTCAAAGAAGTCTGTTTACAAGCAGAGAACTACAGAAAGACAAACCTGTGCTGAGCCCAAAACCAGAAAATTGCTTAGCCAATTAACCTCAAGGCAGCCATTAAGAAGTCTTTGTTTCTTCTTTGTCTTGGAGAATCTAACCGTAGTCTTCTGATACAATAAAATGAAATTCGTATTTTTGTGAACTGTGGCTGCCTGCAGGGATAACTGCCACAAATCATCTAACATTTTGTCTTTGTCATTTATTGACTTAGAACAGAACATCACTAACCACACACAGGAACTTCCCCTCCAGCAAAAGAAACAGTTTCAGCAAAGTAATTCATGCACACCTTTGGGTGAATATCAAAAATAACAAGCCAGGACTGAATGAATACATGGGAAATCATCTGACAGGAGAAAATCCAGTCTTGGGGTTGCAGGGGCTCTGCAGTCATGTAAAGGGGAAATAAGTACTTCAGAGGATCCCATCAGATAAAATTTACCTGGAGTCGAGAACATTCGGAAGAGCCTCTAATGGAGCTAAAAATTACCGATTTAAACAGAAAAGAAAATTTATTTACAGAAATTTTATTTTGTAACTTTTTAAATCTAGTAGAATATTACACAAATAGAAGATTATTACATAATAATTTAAAAACAAAAAATCTAAATGATACCTAATCCTCTGTACTTTCTAGAAAGGAAAGTTATGGGACCATTTCTTTCTTCTAACTTCCTTTTTCTTTTCTTTTTTTAAGTTAATGCATAGTAATTATACATATTTATATGAATATCCTATTTATTACTCAGCCTAAGTACTTGCTTACTGAATATTTATTGTAAAATATCCTATTTAGATTCATTTACTTCTTTATTTCTAGCAAAGATATTATCCTATTTAAATTCACTCATTTTCTATATATCCTTTGTTCTAAATACTGTGTTTACTTTTTCACTGGAATGCAAACAAACCAAGTAAAAACCTTAGGTTTCTCTTCTTAAGTTTTCTAAGGATAAAATAAAGTTAAAATTGTGGATATGGCAGCTCAACTTTCAGAGCAAAAAATAAAATGATTGGGTTGTTTTGCATGTGAAAAACTGATTTTCTTTTTTAAAAAGTCACTCTCTGAAACTTGATGCTTTCAGACATGAACAGATATGAACAAAATCTTTAGAATTTCCTGAAAATATAAAAGTTTAGGGCCAGGAATATACCTCAGTGGCACAGTGCCTGCCTGCCAAGCCCAAGATTGTGTATTTGAGTTGCTTCTGGTTACAAACAAACAAACAAAACAGGGATACTCCTTCAAGCACAGTTAAAAATTTACATGGAAGACAATGTTCCTTTGAAAGGCAAACAGCCCCCAGATTTCAGCTCATTCTCCCACCAACCTAGGGGACCTCTCTCCCCTGACACCTGTGCAGTCTCCTCCCCATCTTCTGAGTATAGTTTGTTTGTGTTTTGTTTTCTTCTGTTTTGTTTCTCTGCATGTGTTTGTCATCCAGTAATTTTCTCATCCTTCGTGTTCATTCTTTGAGTACTTCCTTTCTCAGTCTGACTGATTTTCTTCTCTTCTGTCTCTTTTAAGACTGTCTCCCTTCTCCCTAAAATCTTTTTTAAAATTTTCCTCCTCTATCTCCAAGTCATCCTAATAAAAAGCTAACATTTTTAAATCAACATTTTCAATTTCAATACAAATCTGTGTTACTCATTCTAAATTTTAAAAAACAAGTAGAATAGTTTCCCTTTTTTTAATCATCAATTGTTGCACTTATTTACAAACATTTCTAGGACATTTATCATGACTAGGGTGAAAGATTAAATAAGGCAGTCATTTTAGTGTGCTATAGGTTAGTGGGCTTCTATTTGCTTATTTTAACTAAAAATTAATGTTCCTTCATAAAATAAATACTCCTCCTTGGAACAAATATTGTCTATAAATACCAAGACCATTCTTCTCTCCTAGTTGCCTAAGATTTTATTCTCTAGGTTCAAGTTCAAAGATCAACTTCGTGAATAATGTAGTTTTACAAGTGCTTAGTGAACCTCCCTTATCCCCCATTTCCAAAATCAATATGGTAGTCTAATGAAAGAATTTCAAATTTCTAATACTTTTATTTGGCCATCACATCTGAGATAAGAAAGACAACCAAAAAGTTTCATTCACTGATTCTTAGGCAAAAGACTACCAGCTAATTGTGTGACTGTTAGCTAATTGGACCAATGTATAATAAATTGGTGAAATGGTCTATGTTCATATTCTAGTACTCAGCCTAAGTACTTGCTTACTGAATATTTATTGTAAAGCTGTCTATTGACACCATTAAAGGTTCTTAACGGGGTTTGTTACAAAGCCAAGGCTGACTGTTAATAGCTTGAAAACAGGTTATGCAATTAAATAGTCCTTGAGTTTCAAAGGTAATTATCTACAGAATTTAATGATTGCTTACTCTTCATATTTATTTATTGATAAATATAATTTTCTCGAACCATATCAAAGCCCTTATATGACTTGCATTTATGGAAAGTAATAAATAATTTAAGGTTCTTTTATTCGTAGACCTGGAAATTCATAGAAGAGTTCACAGAGCAGTACACTGGAGTGAAATAATGAAGGAACATCTGAGGAAAAACAATGGGAACATATATTCATCTGGGAAGAGGATAGAAATTGGCCTCTTACTCTTACTACAGTATCTCTTACCACTTTTTTATCCACAGAATAGATATATCTGTACAAAGTGGACTGCAAGATTTCCAGTGTGTGCAACCAATGTGTTGTGCAACCAGGGCGCATGGTAGACATTCTTTATCATGCTGACTGACAGAAAGGAAAGAATGAAGATTTCCAATCAGTCTTTTTATATCAAATTTTCCTAAAAAGCATCAATTCATTCTTTTACCTTCATTTTCCACCAACATTTACCCTCTCTTATTTCACCTACACATGTAGAAACTTTACATTTGTGAATTTCTCAGCAGGTTTTATTTTACTGAATTTGCATGGCTAAATTTTTATTCCCAAATTTATTTCTTATTATTTGTATCACAAAAGTAAAAAAACTGTGCCTTCTGTGTGGTTGTGAGTCACTTTCTTTGTCAAGTGTTTTTAAAAAGACTTCAAAAATACTTAAAGGACTATTAAAGCCTTACTAATTTTTGTTCAAATAAAAATGAATCCAAATAAATTGTGTTTTTACTCTATGTGATTTTGATTCTTAGTCTTGTATAATAAAAACATATATCCTATATGCACAATTAGATATAGAGTTGGATATTTTTTTATTTTTCAAAGTACAATAAAGTATGTTACAGACAACTATTAAATAAAAATCTTATTTTTCCACAGCTGGTTGTTTTACAGAGGAAAAGCAAATCTTTAGAAAATGGAAAATTTCTTTCTTAAAATATTTCAAGCAATCCTACATATTTACATTGTACCTCTATATTTTCATAGGAGCACATAGTGAAAAGAAAATTTAGACTAAATCCCAAGACTCTTCCTTTCTGGCCTTCTCCACCACAATTACATACTTTTTTCTCTTGAAAAGGTCAATCAGCTCTTCCACAAACATTTTCTTCTGCATTATCTAACTAGTTATAAAACAAATTATGTTCATTGTAAACATACAGGTATGCTTGGCAATGCAGAAGATTTACCCTAAAATGATTAAAACTACTTAAAAACAACGTTAGCATTTCCCTAGTTTGGCTATTTATATATTTAATCATATTTTTCCAGTTCCAGAAAGAATTTATTGTGCCTCATATAAATGTATAATATAACAAGGTAACATACGCCCAAAAAGTAAAGTTGATAAGAAAAACTGGATGAAGTAATAATGAGAGGCTAAACAAAAGCAGAAATAAGGTTAATAACCACTGTGATTACTTCCCCTTTGTTCACAAAAATGGTTTTATACCACCAAGAGCATGCATCATATTCAGGTACATCCTTATGGATGAGTTCCTAAACTGAATGTGATTTGTAAGTATCAAGGATAGGAAAGATCGTGACCTAGCTGCAGGACTAGGATCAGGCAGGTCGGTGTTGGCAGTCACCATCTACCTGTCCCCTCCTCTCTGTCTTGGTTCCTCTTCTTCCGAGGGGTGTTTCCCTGATATATCATTCATAAAACTGCAATAAAATGTGACTGCGTCTTTGTGTCTGCCTTCCTAAACCCAACCCTAAAACATTTTACTCCATAGACAATCTGAGGAAGCCCTTTGCTGAAAGACAATAACACATTCACATGATTTCCAAGTTGAAATTCTATAAAAATTATGCACCAAGATAATGTGTTCATTAGTTTTAAGTTTGGCTATATTTTTGTTTACCTCTGCAGAGTTTGTCACCATAAATCTAAGGAAATAAAACATATATTCTTTTATTTTTCAAATTCATATTTCAATTACTTATTATTCCTCATTTCTGTATCTCTCAGACATACAAAAACACACAGCCTCCCTTAGCGTGTGGTTTCACTCAAAGTAGCAAGGAATTGCTGAAGGGAGAAATGTGAAAAGATGTAGAATCCAGTTAACTTTAGTTATTGTTGGTGTGTAATGCCATGCAACTCACTGCTTATTTTAGTAAATGGGGATGAAAATCTCATAAATTAATCAAGGTTTCCAACGGAAGTGATAAACCAAAACCCAGATGTTCACCTAATTAACAAATTAATCTTTAAAAACCAGCCTGAAGTTCTTTCCTATGACTAAGCATAATCTTAGCTACTGCTAGTTTTTAACTTTATGTTATTGCTTCTAACTTGGAATAGAATACCAGTAGTGATTCTTTTTCTCTATTTTATTTTATTTCTTATTGCTTTTTATTTTTAAGAATCATATTTTAGGGATAGAATTTTAAACAAAATATAAAATACTTACAAATAAGATGCAATTTTCCTTGGTTTCTGACATTTATGCTTCCATATGAATAAGCCTGCTTCAGTGAAGCTACGCATCCATTCAGACATTATTATCCTTCATCTCTTCTACATTAGGTGCCTTCTAAAGTGTTATTGCAATAACAGATATTAGCAAAAACATACTCCTTAGCATATAAGGAAGTATTTCACTCTACTTTATTAAAATTTTATTTTCAGAAGAGTTTTATTTTCTGCTTCTATGTGGCTGTATATACCAATGTGTACTCATGTCATTATTCTATATTCTTTGGAAGTTCATATTCCGACTTCCAGGAGAACATGGCAGATAGATAACAGCAGCTACAGAGGCTCTCTGAGATAGCCAGCTTAGATTCCAGGAATGGTATGGTGTGAGGAGTCCTAAGCAAGGGGAGATAAACCCAGCTGACTCAGGAATGAACTAAGCTGAGAGAAACCAACTGGAAATACAATCCCAGTGCTACAACTGCAACAGCTAAAGTCTCAGTGCCCAAGCTAGAACCCACGCCTCTGAAAACTGCAGCTTGAATTTCCCATCACCCGTGCTGCATCTGAATCAGCACAGCAGGGATAGAGATGTGAAAGCTCTGAGAGTGAGAATTGGCAAACTGAAATGACAGCAGAGCTGGCAGGGAGCCATGCATCAACCTGTGGTGAGTGAGAGGAACAGGAACCCTTCCATAGACTAGGAGGCTCCAACAGAGGACATTCTGGTACCGGGCAGAATAGCCAGAACAGGACGCTGCCGTGACTTCAGGCACATATTACCCTCTTAAGCGGGTTTGGTGGGGAGTGCTTGACCTGGGCAATGCAACACCCAATGCAACACCCAGTAGGCTAGCCCAAACCAGGTCCCTGCACTCTGCAGTGCATCCTAATGCAGTGAAGCCTTCAGCAGGTTGACTGACCTGGAGTGGTGGGCCCAGCATAGTCTGCCCAGGTCTGTGTCTCCTTAGTATATTGCAGTGGGCGGGAACACCTAGCCAGTGCAATTCAAACAAACTGTAACAAACAAAGAAAGAAACTGGGCCCCCTATATACACTTGTATGGAAGGAACAAGAAGTATGGGAAGAGGGAACAAAAAGAAAGGATCCTCAGTCCCCAATCCTGAGAACACTGATCCAGGAAAGGTAAATGCAAAGGAGAATGAGGACAGAAAACATGCAATATCAGGCACAGGATCAATAGACATAAAATGATATCTCTGGGATCTCATAGAAAAGTTCAAAAGTGAAGTATTTAACCAAGTAAAGCAAGATATAAATAGAATAGTTGAAATGCTAAGCACCGCCCAAGAAAAAACAGATGGTAGAATGGAAGATAAAAAAAGGGGGAGAACTGTTTGATGGAGAAAATAGAGAAAACATAGAATACATGAAGCAGGTTCAAAGAGATTAACAGGAAGCTAAAAACTCTATTGAAAGCTGGCATAACAGCTTGAAAGAAACTAAGGATTGATTATCTGAACTGGAGGAAAGATTTGTAGTGTGGGAGCATGAAATGAAAAACTTCTTAAAAATAACAAGGAAACAAGCAATAACAATACAAAGGGTAGAAGATGATAAGAGGATCTATAACTTAAGAATTAAGAATGTAAAGGAAGAAGCAGGGATATAAACAAATAAACTGCAAAGGCTATTCACAGAAATAATCAAGGAGAACTTCCCTAATATGGGAAAAGGTGAAGATACTCAGATCTATGAGGCATACAGGACCCCGGCCACTTACAACCCAAACAGAGCTACACCCAGGCATATAATAATCAAAATTTCAGAAATCCAATATAAGAACAGAATATTAAAAGCTGTCAGAGACAAGAAACAGATCACTTACAAGGGAACACTCATCAGGATTACAGCAGACTTCTCAGTACAAACCATCAAATCACGAAGAGCATGGGGCAAAATAATTCAAGCTTTGAAAGACAATAACCTCTAGCCAAGATTGAAATATCCTGCACAACTGTCCCTAGAAATTAATGGAGAAACAAGGTCCTTCCAGGATAAAGAGGAACTGGAGGAATTTGCAACCACCAATTCAACTCTATAGAGAATACTGCAGGACATTCTAAAAGAGAAAAACACCAAGATTCCAGAAACAGTGGCAGAGAGGCCACAATGAATGGAGCAGGAAGTGAAATGAAGAAGACAAACTGACAAGTAATGACAGAAAAAGAGCTCAACAGAAATGAGGCAGAGAAGGTTGGATTGTAGGAACAGCTATTTTGGAGAAAACAAGACATCATAATAGCTAGTGCTGATTTAATATCATCTTGTTTTCAAATCCCATTAAGCTTTTGTTCTTCTGTCTCCATCAGTCTTAACATGTTGTATCTTATTGGATTTTATTATATGTGATAATATAAATAAAAACTTTTATAGACAAGGAGCTAATACAGAAACCATTGTTCATTTTCTGTTAGTTGGTTCTAAATACCCTGTAATACTGTCATTTTCTTGAATGGTTTTACATTGTCTTGATATGTTTGATGCTACAGTATACAAAGTTATACTCAAAAATTTCAAGGAAAGAGACAATATGGTAACTACTTTTATGTCGGGATATCTTGTGGTGAAACACTATTTTGCTTAAATGGTTATGTTCTTACCTGTGCTGTTTTGTTGTTATGTCCTCTTTTATCTCAATCTCCTCTTTTTATTATTTATTTTTTTATTTTTATCTTTTTAATTAAGGGTAAAAATAAATAAAAATAGCAGGATATATTATAGTAACCCACTTTGATTTCCTATTAACTTGATTAGAAACCCTGCATTGCTCTCACCATTTTGTTTTGACTGATTTTACTCTATTCTGTTTTGCTTGATAGTACCAAGTTTGAGAGTACAGGCAACAACTGTGAAGATAATAAGATTCACTATGATGCCCATTATGGTTTGACTATTATCTTCTTTTGAAGTCCTGTAATGTCTCTAATGTTTTGGTTTTATTGGTTTTGTTCTTTACTGTTTTGTTCAAATTTATTATAACTGATAATATAGGCAATTCTTTTTAAGATAGCAAGAGGCAGTATGGTAACCATTGTTGATCACCTTGTATTCTGTTTTTACATTATGTACTATGTCCATCATTTTGATTTGATTGACATTGTTTTGTTATGTCACATTTGGTTTTATTCCCTTCAAAAAAAAAAAGGTAGTAAGAACTGTGGGAGTTATAAAACCCAAAATGTGTAATTGTCATTGTAAAAAAGAGAGGAAAAGAATGTGCTCTAAAGGATATAACTGCATGTGTATTTAAACGTATAAGATAGATAACCATATTACTGAGTTTTT